TAGGAAAAAGACATTCCCAAACATCGAAAGTGAAATTGGCTTAGCTGGCCGTTCAGTATTTGTATCCGGTGACCTCTTTTGAATCATCGAAGTGATAATTCATTATGGGCTGATTGCAAGGCTGCAGATGACCAGATTATCTTGTCAAGGTGGGTCAAATTGTTATCGTTCCAACTGGTAGGAGTCTATATCCGCGCTACATAGCTTGTATCGTTTATATTTAATAACAATCGATCTAAAGTTCACCGGCCGGATTTCTTGGGAACGATTAGCATTGTGACCCAATGAGCATTACTTTAACTTCAAGATCAAGTATATACTCGCCAAAAAATAAAGTCTGTGGATGAATTAAGTACCGTTGCAACGCAACCATTAGGCCAGGTACTTAATTCATCCACAGACTTTATTTTTTTGCGAGTACTAGCTAGTAGCGCTGAAGATCGATCTCGACGATGGACGATGTGTTCCTGTGTTGTGTGTATCTACTGTAGAGCTATGCCTAGGCCTAAGGAGCCCACAGAGTGAATAATAGGAGGATGAAACAATTACAGAGAGACATGTCGTTCGGACGTCGGAGTTCGGATGTAAGGTGTTTTCCCAGATAAGTTTAGAATGAACCTAAATATTCCGCTAGGATTAGGTGGTGCTAAGATAAAGACTGGACCCTGTGCGATAAGACCACAGGATTCCTTAATCTATAAATAGTAGACCGCGTCCGTATAAATATCGTTATGGGGAGAAAGGTTAGAGCTGGTAGTTTAGGGACGGGAAGGATATAGGTGCATTCTTACTTGGGCCAATAGAGTTAGATATTCAACTAAATACAGGATATAATAAGACCTAATACCTTAATTACATGTATGAGGCCCACAGAACAATACAGACCATACAAATATCAACACTTTTATATGAGGTACTGAATCTGGAGGTGCTCGCCGCGCAAAGGCACGCGAAGGCCATGAAAATGGTCGAAGAATCAAGGAAAACGCAATTTCAACTATTGATAAGTAGGATAATGACAACTGATATCAGCAGTTCAGTCAAGCTATCAGTAAGACGATTCGGAGGAAATGATATTTTTAATTATATACAATTCAATCCCTTCCAGAAAAAAAAGAAAAAAATCAGAGACCTTTAACACTCTGCCCATGGTATCGGTGATGGGTGGGGTATCGAAGATTACTTCTAAATACACACATCGTTTTCCGATACCATGACAAGCCCGTCACAATCCTTTACTCGTCATCCTCCTCATCGCCATCGTTGACGACGTTGAAGAAGCGAAGTTCGTAAACACCCTTGCTGGTGGAAACGACACGGAGCCAGTCACGGAGGAGGTTCTTCTTGAGGAACTTCTTGGTACTATCGATTTCAAGAGAGATCAGTAAAATATTCATTAGATTGTGACAGGCAAGAGGTAAACTTACAGGTACTTCAAGTAGCGTCCAGAGAAAGGAATGTGGGAAATGACAACAATCTTTCCATCGCCCTCCTGGGAGATTTGAATGGTCTCGCCGAGGTTACCGACACGGCCGTCGACCTTAATCTTGTCGTGAAGGAACTTCTCGAAAGCGGAAACGTCGAAGATCTTGTCAGATGCGGGCTGGGACGCATTGATGACAAACTATAAAATTAGGATATTAGTATGTTAGTCCCGCATCGATTCTTCAGCGTAGAAATTGACGGATCGTTTCTTTACCTTCTGAGTAACCTTCTCAGGCTTTCCTCCTTTCTTGGTGGCCTTTCCGGCGGTGGACTTCTATATATTTCATGACACTCAGCCTACTGATCAAATATCATCAACCAACCCGCAAAGGCAGGCGGCCGTGACCAGCAAAGCAGTGTGGTGTATACATACGGTGACTGGGGCCATTGGAATTGATTGTTCTTTATAATGCGCAAAGAAGTTTGTATATCCTGCGCTCTGTAAGAAGGTCGATGGGCTTATTTGTGGGTGTGCTGGCTGTTCAAAGGCGAGGCGATTGTCGCGAACTTTTTTTTGGCGGAGTGTTAGCTAGACTGTGGACGACAGTCACAGGGTTATTACCCTGTGCGTCATCAGGGTAACTCTGAAATGCACATATCTGCACAAAATATCACTCGGGGTTTCCATCAACATTGTTATTTCGTAAGAACTGATGAAAAGGGCGTATTAAATATAATTTTTTCACTTAAGCTTTTGGTTTACATATAGAAAGACGCATTGTGTCTCATTTCAATCTCAAAGGAAGTGTATATGAACTGTTAAACAAAAACTAAAACATGGACGCTAGCCTGGCGTTTTGGTAAAAGCCCTCGCGAGCATGTTTTTTTTTCTTTCTTATTTTAAAAAAAAAAAGGAGCGTCTATAAAGAAAAGACAAACGTACCGTACAACTTCTCAAATGAATGGAAATTTTGATCGCACCAGGGGTCGAACCTGGAATCTCTTGATTACCTTCAACATCACGCAGGTCATGAATGAGGAATCGTAGTCAAGCGCCTTGCCATTGGGCCATGCGGCCTCACTGACTTGTTAACAAGGCGCAAAAATATATACATGTAGGTAATTATGAAAGGTTTCACATACACCAACTCTACGCTAGAATATTCTTGAGTGGGAAAGCTTACGAGCATGTCTTCTTATTTCTACATAGACGATTTCTGAGTGTCACGCGCTTTTTGTTAAGTACATGTATTAGTGGATAAGCCGGTCCGTTCGAGAAATATGACTGTAAAATCATAAATATTAAGTTTTCTAGAAATTTTGTAGCTGGAACCATAGCTGGAATTCGAAGGGCACAGTTGCCTTCCAATATAACGAACCTACATTTAAATATTCATTCGATATCGCAAATTATTCGGTACAGCAGATAAGATTTGTGTGAAATTCAGATCCGGATCGCCAAAACCCGTTCGTTACAGTAGATATGTGGCTTTTTAGGTATCCGGTGTGGAGGGCGACTGTACCATTGAGCTTTCAGCTGTCTTCCACTATGGCCATGGATTACATTATTTTATACGTATGTACATGTAGTGGACCTTTTATATACATGCAAGCACTGTAGGCTGCACTTAAAGTGACAGAAGTTGCTGTAAAAGTAATGTACTAAGTATTATATAACAGTGGAGGAACATGTTTTGACATTTCCGTTGATTCCAAGTACATGTACTCTACTCGCACGTTAATTAAAAGGTCGGGATTTTATGTGGGGATTTGGTTGCAACGACTTCCGACCTTTTAATTAACGAGGGAGTAATATGCGCCTTAAAAGATTCTGTGAATACCTGTCAAGTAGGTGTTAGGGGTACGTTGGTGAGTCGCCAGCTTGATATCACTTCCACGATGAACCGATTGAAAATAAAACATATATACATGTACACATTTGGTCTTCGTGTTAACGTTAAGTCGTCAAAACTGTTTGGTTACATGTACTGAACAACTGGCGATTTTTTGACTGCTTTCATCATGACGTTTTATTTTCAGGTCTTCTTCAAAAGTTCCTTATTCGTGTAAAGATACACAAGATTTAGTATCGAGTCTTGCTTAAACTAGCATATTTACACTCCGATTGATAACTCAAGATTTCTATCTCCTACGTATACTCTTGGTTAGCTACATACATGTATTCATGATTCATGACTACATATAGACACCCAAACCTTTTGTGGCAATTTGACAGATGAGAGATATCACGATCGAGGGCCAGGCCTTAATCTAATGGCTGGTATCGCGTCATATTACAAAGCACAAGTTGATTTTTGGCCGCATGTCCCCAAAGTGAGGATAAAGATCAAAATCAAGTGTGCTGCGCAACCAATGAGAGCTAATTTGATTTTGAAGTTCACTTTGAGAACCCGAACTGTGGTAGCAACGAAATTAAATCGTTTTTTAGGGTAAGGGTTATTAACACGTATGTAGTTAATTGGGTGAGGATCTTGATCCTAAGTTCACTTTGAGGACCGTAAACAATGGACATACTAGTACTTATGTAATAAAGGTCCCGGAAAAGGTTGTGTATAAGTTGTGGTCTAGATTAGAAAACATCTCTGGATCCCGCCAAGAAAGCTTAGCAGCCTTGGAGCGGAGCCTCATCCGGAACGCGGCTGCCTTCGACGTGATCGGGTTTGTGGCGGCCAGCAGCTCATACCGACATGTACTAGGGTGTAGCGAAAAGTGATCAGAATCTGATAAGACAAATACACGTATTCACCGCAACATTCACTTATCAGATTCTGATCACTTACCCTCAACACCCGGTACATACATAGCTGTTAGATTAGGCAAAAGTATGAGTCTCAACTGCATTGAAGTACTCTATCTGCTTATTTGGCCAGGCTGAACCTCGCCTTAAGTGTTAGAAACAAAAAGAACCTTGTGGAGCAATCCAAAGCTGCAAGGATATACCTCTCCGATAAGATAAGATGGCGGGGCTGACGAACGCACTAACGCGGTCGAAGAGGGTCGAATCTCTTGATAAAGGATTTTTTTTTTTGGCAGCCTTAAACTCGCATGTAGAACTATGGCCACGGATTTCCCCGTTCCGGCATGAACAGATCTCTTGAGGTTCTGTGAGGTTCTCTTTCAGTTGTTCCCGCGGGGCGGTACGCATGGTGGGGCATCCCCTGCGGCTTTGTTGGGTGGAAGCTACTAGAATCCACTCTTCGAATTTCGATCTTGGCACTAACGACTCTCCTCTAAATTCTCCTTCCTCTCCCCAACTTCTCCTCCTTCTCCTCTCCCTCTCAACAGTGATCTATTCTCCCAAGCTTCCCTGAATTACTTTACTCTCACATCTCAACTTTCATCTCAGTTGCGTGTTTCTTAGAGGTTCATAGAGTCGAGAAAGTGAGTTATCCTTCTGCCCCGCACTTTTCTTTTGCTGCCTGGCCCTATGGCACAACTCTGCAGATCACTCGCAATGAGTTTGACGCAAGGATGGATGGATCGTTTTTCGCCCTTCATCCAATACCAATGTGCTAACTAAATTCTTCTGATATAGAAAGCAAACAATCATAAAAATGGCTGAGACATTTGAATTCCAGGCCGAAATCTCCCAACTCCTTTCCTTGATCATCAACACGGTCTACTCAAACAAGGGTAAGTCCAAATCACCAGAAAAAGCATTGATTCCTCAGTTTTCTGACTTTGTTTTCAGAAATCTTCCTCCGAGAGTTGATCTCCAATGCATCTGATGCCTTGGACAAAATCCGCTACATTTCTCTGTCAGATCCGTCTGCACTCGAGCATGAGAAGGACCTGAGGATAGATATCATCCCTGACAAGGAGGCCAAGACACTCACAATGTATGATCCTACTATCGTTCCCCCATAGTTCCAGCTCTTATTAACATGATTGACTGTTAGTCGTGATACTGGTATTGGTTTCACCAAGTCCGACCTTGTTAACAACCTTGGTACCATCGCCAGATCTGGTACCAAGCAGTTCATGGAGGCCCTCTCTGCTGGTGCCGATATTTCCATGATTGGTCAATTCGGTGTTGGTTTTTACTCTGCCTATCTTGTCGCTGACAAGGTAGAGGTTATCACCAAGTCAAACGATGACGGTAGGTTTATTACCTTTTCGCATTTGCCACTATTCAACTAACTCAATATTTAGAACAATACATTTGGGAGTCTGCCGCTGGTGGTTCTTTCACAATTAAGAACGATACCGACGGTCCTCGCATTGGCCGTGGTACCAAGATCGTCTTGCACATCAAGGACGGTCTCCTAGAATACCTGGAGGAGGCTAAGATCAAGGAGATTGTAAAGAAGCACTCCGAGTTCATCTCTTACCCCATTTACCTCCATGTTACCAAGGAGGTCGAGAGGGAGGTTCCTGATGAGGATGAGGAAGAGTCCAAGGTTGAGGATGACGACAAGAAGCCTAAGATCGAAGAGGTTAGGGGTTTCCATTATATTTATACTACTTGAGCTATTTCTAACGCGCTTTTAGGTTGATGAGGATGACGAGAAGAAAGAGAAAAAAACCAAGAAGATTAAGGAAATGAAAGAGGAGGAGGAAGAGCTTAACAAGACTAAGCCTATCTGGACCCGCAACCCCTCTGACATCACCAGTGAGGAGTATGCTGCCTTCTACAAATCCCTTTCAAACGACTGGGAAGACCATCTTGCGGTTAAGCACTTCTCTGTTGAGGGTCAGCTCGAGTTCCGCGCAATCCTCTTCGTTCCTAAGCGTGCTCCTTTCGATCTCTTCGAGACTAAGAGGACTAAGAACAACATCAAGCTCTACGTTCGCCGCGTATTCATCACTGACGACTGCACTGACTTGATCCCCGAATGGCTTGGATTCGTCAAGGGTGTTGTTGATTCTGAGGATCTCCCACTCAACTTGTCTCGTGAGACACTCCAGCAGAACAAGATCATGAAGGTCATCAAGAAGAACCTTGTGAAGAAGACCCTCGAGATGTTCAATGAGATTGCCGAGGACCGTGAACAATTCGACAAGTTCTACACTGCTTTCAGCAAGAACATCAAGCTCGGAATCCACGAAGATTCCCAGAACCGCCCCATGCTTGCTAAGCTCCTTCGCTTTCACTCGACCAAGTCTGGTGATGAGATCACCTCATTGGCTGACTACGTCACTCGCATGCCTGAGCACCAGAAGCAGATGTACTACATCACTGGTGAATCACTTAAGGCTGTCACCAACTCTCCGTTCTTGGATGCTCTCAAGGCCAAGGACTTCGAGGTTCTTTTCTTGGTTGACCCCATTGACGAGTACGCCATGACTCAGCTTAAGGAGTTCGATGGTAAGAAGTTGGTGGACATCACCAAAGACTTCGAGCTTGAGGAGACCGAGGAGGAGAAGAAGCAGCGTGAGGAGGAAGAGAAGGCCTTCGAAGGTTTGGCCAAGACTCTTAAGGAGGTCCTCGGCGAGAAGGTTGAGAAGGTTGTCGTCTCACACAAGTTGGTCGACGCACCCGCTGCTATCCGTACTGGTCAGTTCGGTTGGTCAGCCAACATGGAGCGTATCATGAAGTCCCAGGCTCTGCGTGGTAAGTTCTACAATGATTCAATTATAACAAATTAGGCTCATCTAACACCAACATAGACACCTCTATGAGTTCATACATGGCTTCTAAGAAGACCTTTGAGATCTCACCCAAGTCCCCCATTGTCAAAGCTTTGAAAGAGAAGGCTGAGGAGGAAGGCGCCTCTAAGGCTGTCGCAAGCATTGCCACTCTCTTGTTTGAGACCGCTCTTTTGACTTCTGGATTCACTTTGGATGGTGAGTGCTTATAAATGCCCCTTTTTATTCTGTGTAATAGTTGCTAATTCTTTCGGTAGAACCCAACGCTTTTGCCCAGCGTGTCAACCGCCTCATCGCTCTTGGTCTGCAGATTGAGGAGAAGGAGGATGATGTTCCTGCAGCTGCTGCCCCAGCCACCGAGACTCCTGCGGCTGTCACTGAGAGCTCAATGGAGGAGGTTGACTAAGCGTTTTCATGTTACCATATTTTCTTCTTTTAAAAGCTTCTCTTTGTTCTCTTTTCTGGCTTGTAATTTTTTTCTCTTTTTTCTTTTCAATCCAGTGGGTGGGGAAATAGTTGGGTTCGGTGTGATGAATTTACGGTATCGGTTCCTTTTTTTTCTTCCAATGCTCCAGCACCTACTTCTGAACGTGTGCCTCAATGTTCTTAAGTTAGGAAAGCTCAAACTTTCTCTAGTCAATGCCCGAAGGGGTTTAAGAAGCAGGTTCCTAAGCAAAGTATATGAATGTTGTGAGATTCTAGCGACTGTGAATTGCTCTAAACAAGTCTTTGACTAATTACATGTAAATACCTCTTTTTTACGTCTTTTATTTAATATACCAGCGAATCACCATACGCCTGTCTAATGACACCGCAGTATTTAGAATGGTCTTCCCAATGAACTTAGGTATCCGTGCGATATTTAGTTAGCCTACGTCTCAGGTTTTACAAATGTAATAAAAAGCCAGGACTCACGAGTTTGACACTCTTTAGAGCAAAAAAAACATTGAAGGCATCCACTGCACCTCAATAACCTGCTATACCTTCTTTTCCCAGTTTCCTTATCTGGTTCATCAAGTTGTTCCCAGTTCCCGCAGCCACAACATGGTCTAGAGCATTGGTCTCCTCTGAGAAGTAGACGGACCTCTAGCGCGGGAGGATCGCTCAGTTTCCAGCCGGTATACTCAATTACTCCCAGTTCTACTAGCTGTATGAGAAGATCCTTCCGATATGGAATTGACAGCGAGAACCAGAATGTAATCTTGCCAGCTTCGAACGAAGGGGTAGGTTCCTCTAATATAAAAGTACGCCTTAATTTAGCCATGCAATACAGTAACGATAAACCGTCAATACAAGGGGAAGGGAACTGACTAGTATACGCAGTGATTGTCATGAGGATCGCCTGACGATCAGGATTCAATGGGTCATGGCGGGCTGCATTGATGAGGTGCACTCGAGGATTGCGCATGTGCTTTGCCTTATTGTCTGTAGAAATTCCTAGAGCCACGGGGATGGGGTTCACCATGGGGATTGAGACACTTGGTGCAGTGCCTTCCGGGGGAAGATCTGGGTGTGTGACTCCGAACCAGCGGATATATGGTGTGCGGCGGACTCGTTTGGCTGTGGGTTTGGCGCCAATGGCTTCATCTTTAGTGGGGGGGTTGGCGTCGATGGCTTCATCTTTACTGGCGGTGCAGCTAGGAGAAGTTTTGTGAGAAGAGGATTGACAGCAGGATGCCATCTCTGATATGGTCTGAATGGTTACTATCTTCTGGAGGGATAAAAGGTTGTAAGCTTACGAGCTTAGTAGCTTGCGGCATGAGTGATCACTCGATCGTTAAGCTACTTTATTCGGCGGCCACGCAACACAATGAGCTTTGTAACGTCGTCAGCTTTAGTTAAGACTATTATATGTAAGCAATCTACTAGGAATCGGATTCATAAGAGATTTTGCTACGTGTAGTCTCGGCATCCTGATGAAGTAACAGCTTGCGTCAAGTCTGCAATTGATCCAACCTATGTTAATAATACTTACTGATTTCCTTTTGATAGTGCATACCGGCTGCTAAAAAGGCCTGAAAACAAGACCAAATATCTACACTGAAAGTTTAAAAGTCTGAATGACAGTCTAAACCCCGAGTTGTAGAGCACCGAATGATATTGCATGATTCGATCTCCCAGAATGTACCATAGAGCTAAAAGTACCTAGCACGGAATTGGTTTGCAAAGTCCGCCCGACGTGGATTCCAGCTTTGATTTCTCCAAATTTCTACCTATGTGGAAGAACATTCTACAAATTACCTACATGTCTTTCTTCATTCCCACTTGAGGCCTGGGGCTGTAACCGCAGGGGTCGAGATCTCCTGCATGCAGGATTCGTGTGTGTGGAACCTTGCGATGAAGGATAACTCCTGAGGGATATGAGGTTGTGGGAATGTGGCCGGAGGAGGCATGTGGATGCGCTTTCCAGTAGAGTATGTACAAAAAAAAAAAAAGGTCAGCTGTCGCGAAGATATTAAGAAACGACGGTGGTGGGGGATGAGGAGGTAAATGGCGAATTGCCGTGCGGGAATGTGACAGTAGCGATAGGAGAGGGAGAAGAAGAAAAAAGCACGGTTGAAGGAGGGGTATTATCTCTTTCTTGCTGGTAGGTACAACTGGAGGGGTACATGACTTAAAGTTACCAATATCATTATTTCCCAGTGGTCGCGTACTGTGTAAACTGAGAGGGGGTGGGTAGTGTTTTTGCGACACTTGATAGAACAAGATGTGGAGATGCGTTCTACCGGTTTATCCTAGGAAGGGTAGGTACATGTAGTTACCGGTAGAGTAGAACATACAGGCACAAACAGGAACGGTAAGGGTTTCAGCCGTGCACTGACCAGTAGTTGGTGAGTGAAGTGAAGACTCATACCGGTAGCGGGGAGGGAGGGGCGAGGGTTGAGAAGAAGGAAGGGGCAAAATAGAGAGAGCCTAAGTGCGAGCCTGCAAACACGCCTCTACCACAGCGCGCACAACCAATTCCGCCAGCTCTTCTCCTCATCGTCTTCCTTAGCCAACCATTATTAGCTTGCGCACCACCCACCACCCACTACTATCCACTATCACAACCACCCATCTGTCCGTCGTCCACCCACTTGCTCCTGCCCACTTCCAACCACTCATCACTCGTTCAGCTCCTGCTCCATCCCTTGCCTACATACACCTCCCTGCCTATCTCTGTCTGCGACTTGTTGCTTCTTCTTCTGCAACTGCCGCGCTTGTTGTCCTTAATCGCCCCTCTTACTGTTACCACCAACCTAAAATAGCCCCCGCTGGCGTCAGATTCTCCCCGCAACCCGTCGACGTCGGACACTCCCTCCCAGACTAGGACTACCTCACTTCAGAACCAACCACCGCCTCCTCACTCGCAAGTTCCAAAAGATCAAGTCAGGAATTCCCAGGAAAACCATCACCATCAGCCACAGAATAGTACTGCCCCTGCTCCCGCTTCCCAGCATTTCGGACACTCACCGCTTTCCACCGTTTCATCCCTCCTCTGGGACTCCCGATACACAACCGCTCGGCGGCCAACATTTGCCTTAAAGTCTATAGGTCCCTGCTCTCCAAATCTTAAAGAGGAACTAGACGAGCAAGAGAAAAAGCACAACCGGAAGCCAACAGGCCCGGACGAGGACGGAGAAGAAAACAGAGCTCGAAAGAGTAGAAAAACCACTCCCATAGAAGGGCCACACGCAGAAAGAAGCTCTTCATCTTCTACAAATAGAACAATGGATCAATCCGGAAAACGCCACCCCAGTTCGTTCCAGCAACTCGAGAAGTTGGGAGAGGGTACATATGCTACGGTAAAAGCCGCCACTTCTCCAAATTCTTGGCAGAGTTGATGATTGACCATATTGCGCGCAATAGGTTTTTAAGGGCAGAAACCGCCAGACTGGTGAGCTCGTCGCGCTCAAGGAAATTCACCTTGACAGTGAGGAGGGAACTCCATCCACTGCCATTCGTGAAATCAGCTTGATGAAAGAGCTCAAACATGAAAATATCGTTTCATTACATGATGTGATCCACACCGAGTCCAAGCTCATGCTTGTATTCGAGTTCATGGATCGCGACTTGAAGAAGTATATGGACCACCGAGGCGATCGCGGCGCATTGGATTACGTTACCATAAAGTCGTTCATGCACCAGCTCCTCCAAGGGATCGCTTTTTGCCACGAGAACCGTGTTTTACATCGTGATCTAAAGCCTCAGAATCTTCTCATCAATAACAAGGGAATGCTCAAACTGGCTGATTTTGGTCTGGCCCGTGCCTTTGGTATTCCTGTAAACACTTTCTCTAACGAGGTCGTGACTCTGTGGTACCGTGCGCCGGACGTGCTCCTTGGGTCCAGGACCTATAATACCAGCATTGATATCTGGTCCGCTGGTTGTATCATGGCTGAGATGTACACTGGACGTCCACTCTTCCCCGGAACAACCAACGAGGATCAGTTGCAGAAGATCTTCCGTCTGATGGGTACTCCTTCAGAGCGCTCATGGCCTGGAATCTCGCAGTACCCTGAGTACAGAAGTAACTTTCACGTTTACGCTACCCAGGATCTGCGTATGATTCTGCCCCAGGTCGACCCGATGGGCCTTGACTTGTTGAGCCGCATGCTACAACTTAGGCCCGAGATGCGTGTCAGTGCTAAAGACGCACTGAGACATCCATGGTTCAACGATTTGAAGCAGCTTCGGGCTGGACTAGCCCAACAGCAGGGACAACAGCAGGCTAGTGCGGAACGAGCTAGAATGGATGCTGCCGTCAGGGCACAGCAGCATCAGGGACAGATGGGAGCGCCAATGGGTGGTCATGTAGGCGGACCAGTTTATTAAACAAGCGGTTATTGGAACAATACGGATTACGAGTGACGATGCATGGCTCAGGAATAATAGAACAAATGTGTAGGGGATTTGGGTTGGTGTGGTTTGTCTTTTTTCCTTGCCTTACGAGGAGACATGGATTTGCAGATGGCTGGTAGTTTTTATTCCCTTGTTTTTTTTTTTTTTTAACTGCTGTCTTTCTACATACGTACTCGTGAATTGCAGATGCGTTCCTTCAGGATTCCTGCGTGCGAACCAAAAAAACCAAAAGCAAAATTGGAACTGGAAAAGGTGTGGGAAATAAGCATTACCTGGGTTGCAGGTTTTGTAAGCTGTGTTTAGAGGACTGTGAACCCCGCGTAAAGATTTCTTTCCGTATGGTTTCTTGACGATTCTTCATTACCGCTCCCTTGTCAGCTGTTTTTCCTTTCAGATAATTTTCCCTGCATATCACTCTCTGGGTGTTTTCTACGATCCAGAGCGCATAGCCAGCCTACCTTGGCGGATCTCGGCCAAACGTAACAGTACTGAGGCACTCACGCTGAGTGGGAGTAAAAAGTCGGGTGATGGCTGTGGGCAACAGGTAGCCAAGCTAGCAAGAAGAGGGAGGTGGGTTATGAGGAACGATATATGCAAAGAAACTGGGATCAAATACATATTGGGTGTCGTATGTGCGAGAGACTATATTTATGGCAAGGGAGATGAAGAGAAAGGAAACTACAGTTCGAATGTATGTGTGCACCGAGACAGGAAGAGATGGGAAAACAAGGAGGATTGAAGATTACATGTAGCTGCTCTACTTTACATAAGAACCAAAAATAACTGTCGTTTTATTCACTAAACCCCACGCCGATCCCTGTGCCCTGTCCAAGCGATAGAGAGTCAAGTCTATATATCCCATTGTCCCTTTTTTTTTTTTTTTTTTAATCCCTTTTACTGGTGGACTTCCTCCCACCCAGTTCGTTCCCTTACGAATCCTTGAGCTGGCTCTGAAGAGGGACCAGAGGGGTATACTTTATAATCATCCACTGTTTATCTCTTGTCTTTTTCATTTTTATTTAGCTCTAGCTCCCCGTACGGAGAGAGCAAGAATTGGGACGGGGGAACAGTGAGTTAGACTCCCCTCGGCCCTCGGGTAGCTGGAGCCTAGAGATCAGTGGGAGACTACATGTATGCCATCGATCTTGCGGAGAGAGCAAAGGAAAGTCTATGTAGGCCCGGGGGAAGCAGGCACGAGATGGAAGGGGAATAACAGCTAGTGGGCGATACCCTCTCGGCCCCCGTAACAGCCCGGAGAACCAATAGCTAGCTGTATCCTCCACGAGGAGAGGAGAGGAGGAGCAAAGGAGAAGCCGTATGAGGTGGGGGGGTGACCACCCTCAAGCCATCCACTACCTCTACATCTCTCCCAAGGGTATAGGAAGGCGGTAGTCGGGGTGGCCGGTGAATTAAAGCCGCTTTCGGGTCCCTGGTAAGTATGGTCTCTGCACATGTAGTCTGTGCTTGCCCTTTGCCAGAGCTTCTTTTGCCTGTTGGGCCTTTTGACTTCCCTATTACAGAGATAGACCGCATAATAATCGAAGTACATATATGGATATCGGTCGAGATAATAAATAAGGAGGGGAAAACGTATTCACCTTCCTCTACTATAACCTCGAGGTTGTTATGAAATATTTGCATATAGACCTGGGAAGGCTACAAGGGATAAAAAAAAAAGGCTACAAGGGAGCCGGATTGGAAGGTATCCAAGCGAACTTGGATCACAGAAGATCACTCGGTAAGTTCTCTCACAAATCTGAGCCAATGGAAAGTGTAAATTGGACCAAGTCTCTGTACACCTGAAAGCTCACGAAAGTTCGAATTTAAAACAATTTCTTGTGCGAGTGAGGTTGTATGATGCTCGGCGACCTAGCTAGGTTGAGAGAGTACATGTAACTAGGGGTGTGCCAACTCGCGACCGCGAGTTGTATGTTGAATTATGGGTATCAAATAAAATTTAATTCTCCCTCTACAATCATGAGGGGCCTTCGGCCCCATCCTCCTCCTCTCGTGAGTGCTCAGTACTTTGATGTGTCGTGCTGACTAATCAACATCCCTGCACTCAGCAGCCAATCAAACCGTTCCAATGTTAGAAAACTTAGCGATAGTACTAGGGTGTTGAGGGTAAGTGATCAGAATCTGATAAGTGAATGTTGCGGTGAATACGTGTATTTGTCTTATCAGATTCTGATCACTTTTCGCTACACCCGGTACATTATAGATGTTAGATCGCGCACAATCTCCCACTTTGACTAAGCAGTGGTCCGGTTTTTACCCGCCAGAGCTGCGCTCATGTGTTTAAAATTAGTAACATTAATTAAGGTGAATTAAAACACCGCTTGCATAAATACGCGCTTTAAAAGGCTTGAGATATATTTATGAACTATAACTCGGGACTGCTCATAGAATCTGACCTGCGGGACTAGGGTAAAGGATGATATATATTATCATCGGTAACAAATTTTCATTACAATTGACATTAATACTTGTCTACTTGTATTCTCTCCTTGCTCCATAGAATTTGAATACTTAATTAGGCTTGGAAAACCTAGGGATAACGATTTCGACAGGTCTCTGTTTTATCAAACCTTCTGATAATCCACTGCATCGAGGCTCAACTTCATTCAAGCCCAAATACTCCTGTAGATTTTATCTCGGCTTCAACCGCATTCACAGCTACCAGGAATAATAATCATTGCCCCGAGCTATCGAGTGATAATTTGTGCTTTAGAATCTGTGCAACGTGTAACCCGTTGACACTAGCCAGATATACCCCCGCGGAAACTCTTCCTTTCACTGATTTCAAGGCGCAATCACCCACCAACCACCCGGCATGTCGCGCACAACCTCCAAACAGATCGCTACAGCCCCCGTCACGGCTCCTGACCCTGCTTCCGTGATGACAATTGAAGAGCAGGCGCGCCGCTACCGAGCGCTCGTTAAATCGCACAGACAGCTTGAGGCTCGGTTACGCGAGGAGCAGCGTCTGGCAGAATGGTGGAAGGAACGCGTCGGTGCTCTTGATAAGCGTTGTCGCGATGTCAACACTGAGCTACGGGTGGCGCTGGACCAGAAGCGGGCGCTGATGAAGACGGTGAGGTTCTTGAAGACTGAGGTTGGGCATCTTTGGAGGTGCCGGTTGGTGGAGGCAAACCAGATCAAAGATACGAGCGCCGACTTAGACGCGTTCCTACAAGCGGCGGAAAAAGAGCTGGGTGTTGCGAAGGCTAGCTGGGCCCTCGATAAATGGAGAGGGGAAGAGAATGAGGATCCAGACAGACATCTTACAAGCTTAAAAGGGACTGAAGAAGCCCAGACAGACTCACAGGCCAAGGATCCCGCGATAAAAGCACTCATACAAACTTTATGGAGCGTGCAGTCCGAGGACTCAATAATCTCAGAAAAGAGTTCAGTGTGCGAATGTGATTCTTCAAGAACTCTCAAGGCGCTGTTCCCACGAAGTGATGAGAAGGCAAGAGCTATTGAAGAAGAGCAGCCAGACCCATTAACTGAGATGCTCCTCCGTCGGAGATCTAGAAAAGGCCGAAGTGGAAACGGCACTGCGGAGGAGATGAGAGTGACTACGCCGATTGCTGTCGACCAGGCGCCTGCCATTCCTACAGTAGTCAGAACACCTGTGAACTCATCAAATATACAAAAGTCTACTAGAGGCAGCGCATCTCGGCAACTGGGAGCATCGCCTGTTACAGCATCACCGGCTACAACTTCATCGATTACAGCATCACCACCAGTCACGGATTCACCTATCACGCCTTTTGTTGAAGCTCAGACCCCAGAGGCGCTCTCAAAAGCGAGGAAAGAACATAAACAGGCGCTGAGAATGAAATTAAAAGCTACAAGAGAAAAGGTTGAAGGAATACGGCGAGAGAACGGTGTTCTGGAAGGGCTTCTTATAGCAGACCGTACCGATGGGACGAGAGGCTAGAACGGACTTGTCTCCTGAAGAGCCGTGGGAAGAGCAGGAAGAAAATTTTGCGATTTGTTTATATTTGGATGGGCGCCCACAAGTTGCGCGATAGTTATACGATTTACGAAGAAAGAAAAAAAAAACACGGTGGAAATGATAGATATTTGGATTAACTTTTACTTATGTGGTTGTTGTGGCGGGGATTTGTTCCCAATGAGGCATGCGGCGAAAGATTACATATCCCGGCACAGCAGCACAGCTATGACGAAGGAACTCCAGAGTTCTACCAACTCACACCTCTCCCCTATCCTCTAAATTTATCAAATCCCCGTACAAACTCTCCGATGGTGGTTCCACGAATTCCCTATACACTTCCTTTCCCACCTCCGACGATACACCCCTCCCATGCGGTTACGCTTCCCGCCGCAATTGCCGCCGTAACAGACTTCTTACACTCGCGAAATACGGTTCTGCTCACCGGCGCAGGCATATCTATCGAAAGTGGACTTGCAGACTACCGAGGCGAAAAGGGAACATACCGGCTTAACAATAAATACAAACCTATATTTTTCGGCGAATTCGCGGGTAGCCATGAGTCAAGGAAACGGTACTGGGCGAGGAGTTTCCTTGGGTGGTCAACCATGGAGAATGCCCGGCCAAATAGAACTCATATGGCCGTATCAAAGCTTGGGGAGCTTGGAGTTGTGCCGCATGTTGTAACCCAAAGTATGTTGTATCTGTTAAGCATAATTGGTTGGGCAAGGCCAATCTGACATGTCTAGACGTAGATTCCTTCCACCATATATGCCATCCTAAATTACCAACAACAGAGCTTCACGGTACCCTTAGAACAGTCACCTGTCTCACGTGTCGTTCTGAATATCCGCGTATCCCGTTCCAGAAAACCCTTGCCCGTCTAAACCCAAAATGGGCGGATTTCCTTCAGACTGCGATAGAAGCAGGCGCATTCAGTAAGAATAACCGCGAAGAAAGTATAAAGACCAACCCCGACGGAGATGTTGATCTCCCTGGCGCACCATACACTAAATTCCGTTACCCCCCGTGTCCGAAATGTCTCGAGGAAACCCGCGACGGCACTGTTTTGGCAGACAATGACGGCGCGCACATTCCAAAGCCAGGCGACGGCTCAATGAAGGGTATTTTAAAGCCGAATGTCACGTTTTTTGGCGAGTCGATATCCGAGATTGCAAAGAAAGAGGCTTCAAAAGCAGTTGAAGAGGCAGATAACCTTTTGGTGCTTGGGACCAGTCTAGCCACATACTCGGCTTGGAGGATAGCGAAAGCTGCACATGAGAAGGGAATGGGAGTGGGCATTATCAACCTGGGTGGCGTTAGAGGCGAAGATCTGTTTTTCTCGAGTGATGCGAGGGGCGAGAGGATCAGGATCGAGTTAGCATCTGGTGATGTGTTGGGCGGAGTTGTGAAGGAGTTGTCGGGGTTTGACTATGAGGCGCTCAATGCTGCTAATGAGGATATGGTGAAGAGAGCTGGTGGTATTGGACTTGGTGGATGATTATTTATGAAGAACGAGAACATTTATGCACTTTTATATTGTAGTGTTGTAAGATATGAGGTATTTTGTATCAGGGGCGTTTGATATGTTTATTTTGGTTCTTTACTTAGTCAAACACATACAATCTTATGTTAAGTTCTGCATACTCCCGGTGGTCGCCAGATTGCGGCCATACAAAGCTCTTCCAAATGTTTAAAAGAAAGCGTGGATTTACTATCGATTCTATTCCATCTCTCACCCAATCATCTAAACAACAGTATTTCTCGCGATCACCGTCATCGGGAAGCATCAATATCCGCCCCAATGCATTGAGTTTAGAGCACCGTGACTACCACGATATACAATAAAGATAGAGAATACAGCGAGAAGGGCCTTGACTCATGGAACCGTTCCAATATATTCGCCGATCCTTATTGGTAGTTAGGAATGATCCGCGCGATAGGGCCTGTTTGTTCACGATAGCGGTCTAATTATATAACCAAAAAAAAAAGGAGAGAGGATGTTTTTACCTTAGATACCGCGACTTGCAATTCTTTCTCTACTGCTAGTTATCGACTTTATATATTCCTGATTCCCACTTTCTGTCGTTTGAGACAGCTGGACCATTATTTCATGTTAATACCAGAGACGAGAATCTATCTAATTACGACATGATAAAAACTGAAAATGGTGGCTCCCTCACCATGGCCAACTACACATGGTGCAGTGGAAACAAAGTGCCTCATTTATGCTAGAGGGCTGGGTCTTGGTCTTCTGGGGTGCGGGTGTCGTGAGGGGCCAGTCAAAAATTGGGCTTCTTCCTATGGGTTGACCGCCCATGGTATCTAATAAAGTACCGCTCGGATCCTTCCGCTTTGTAAATTCAATTCACCAGGAACCGTTATATATAGCACATACAACCGGTATTATAAAACCTCAATTGAGACATAATTATTTGGAGCTGTCAGAGTGATTGTCCACTTAATTGACATGGAAATAGTGTGGTCCATGAGCCGAGCCAGCTCGAGCTTTTGGCTCGTTGAGAGCAAGCCTTACCCCCTTCATGAGCCGAGCTGGCTCAGGCCTTTTCCGTTAATACACAAGCTTCGGCTCGAGCCAAAATTGCCATGCTTTTAACTAGATACTTGAGAGATGAGAACTGGAAATTGGGGTTTATAATGATCTCTATACATTGGTGAGTTATAGGTAATGCTATTATTAAAACCACTTTCGCCAATCTCACTGTTTTTCCATGTCCCTACCTTTTGCAAGGGAAAAACCTGTAACTCTGGTCATTGACCACAAGCTAGAGCTGTATCATGAGCCTGTACTAGAAGCTCAAGCACTGTGAGCCCTACACCCATCGAGCCGAGCCAACTCGAGCTTTTGTCCGGCTAGACTCGAGCCGGCTCATGGACCACACTACATGGAAAAAACTGCACAAAACACCAGCTTATGTCGCGTCGAAAAAAACTATGTAACTACAATAAAAGCTCGATTTCGGCCTAGGCCTGTGAAGATTGTAAAAAACCGAGTTCCATAAACGGAAGGTTATATGTAAATACGAATGAATAAATCAACCAAGTCAATCAAATAATTATCCAAATCCGAATCAATGAGTCACTAAATAACTCAAAATTAACGCCTGAAGTTTAGATAACCGAGTGAGAATACGTGATCCAAGCCAAGAATTCGCCTTTGGGCCTGCCTAGTCACTAGTGTGCATGCGCATACTACATTCAGAGTTTGGATCATATGAGGCCACACCTAGCCCACGTATGACTACATGTATTAATGTTCCGCATGCAGGCTGCGACAACTCAGTATTAATGTCTGTGGCTGCCTAGCGAACATATATAGGATAGGAATAAACTCTTCCATACTGCCTTCTGAGCTTCTGTTACAAGGCCAGCTTATTGTCAAGTCGAGAACAGCTGTTCTTAGGACATAGCTATAGGAAGTCAACAATATCATTATGTAGGGGGCCTTCTCTTCTTCCAGTCATCGTTTATGGCTACCCCGTCCATTCCCCCCGATCCTCCAGCACTATTCGGCTGGTTAAAACTCCTAACGTCAACTGTTTGTCTTCCGTCGGGCTATTTGGAATATCTAACAACTGATCCTGAGGACCCGACTCTAAAGCCATAACGGACGGGGACCCATAAGGCTTGTCTTAAGAGCCTTAGGTTATGGTCTTTATCAATACATGTACTTATAATCATGTGATTGGTTATGTTTTGGTATATTCTTACCATTTAAAATCTCGTCTTTTGAAACCTCTGAACTGTTAACTCAATAACGGGTTGTGGAATCGAAGCACCTCACGGGACAAGCTTAGGGTCAGACGTGCCCGAAGCAGCTCAGGATTATCCATTCCAGCCTCAAACTGTCTTGTAGACCACACAGTCTCTACATGTAGTTCTGTGGTCAACTGTCATTGTAAAGAACTTTCACACCTGTGGTATCATAATTCTATCTTCTTAAACCTTCCCTTCCAATAGTTTGCCGTGAGAGAACTAATGCTTGTAGATACATGTCAAACCTGTGGATATAACTGTTCCTGCGGGTTGATACATACATGTACATACCTCGCCTTGAGACTACATGTAGTGGACGACCGATATTTAGGCTACCTGGGTTCACGGTTATATCATAAGGCTCGGGAGCAATCCCACAATCTAGGCTCGCATGCTCCACGGGAAAGATCTACTTTAAAGGTCGATTGGCCGCGTTTCTCTACATGAGACTCAGGCTCCCAGTTGCTTGCGGTAACCCGTTTACTGCAGTAGTTGCGACTTTAGCGCCGAAGCCTAATGCACCTGAGTGTTGTGTTTTGATCGACTAGGTTTGATCGTCGGGATCACAAAATATCACTCTGTAGGTCATCAGTATGACTAACCACTTCTAGTATTGTCTGGCTCAATAAGTTTGTGTTCGTCGACTGAAAATTATACAATGTTCGCACAATTGCGCACCTGAGAGTAAAGCAGAGTATTTACTCGACAGGCAAACGATTGAGTTTATGCAGGGATCACGGTCTGGTAACATGAGCCTCAGGAGCGAGTGAAAGATCGATTAGATTGATTAGGCATCTCGGCCCAGAGCGGAAGATTAAGAAATGACGAGGCCAAGACAGGCTGACTTGAGACTGCCCCACATCCAGCAAGTGGGGTAATTCGGCACGAAATCTGAGACTCTCTCTTCTTGCTGCTGTTGAACAAAGAAAAGTAATCGTACGATACTCGCACAAGGGCCCAAGGGTCCACTGTACATGAGCGATCACCTACCTACCTATGTACGTCTCGTCGTTTTTTTTTTTTTTTCTTTGAAGACTCAAAAACACTTTGGATTGGATAGAGAGTACAACAGCATTTCCAACAGCAACTCTCTAGCTGAGGGGTAAATACACGTGCGTCGTGGCAAAACTCAATACTGGGTTTTTCTGTCCAAAATCGTATCCTCTCGCGGGTCGAAAGGCTTCAGATGGTGATATGGTTGGGGACACCTTGAGCCGGAGTATGCGACATTCGATCCAAGAATTAACCGGATGTTAATTAGACTCTTGGCACAGATAACTGCTTCTCGTTTACAGTTAGCTAGTGTGTTAATACTAATTAACATGGCCCGCGACATTCATCACCAAACCCCGACCCTAATAACTCCACCCACAGAACAGCTAAATTAATTTGGACTATGTAGGGTGATAGATCAGATGAATACTAGCCGAATAACAAAGAGATAATTAAAATAGGGTGTGGTTGTGGAAAGTTATTAGCTTGGGAAATCTTGACGTTGGAAGTGCTCCGGCTCAAGGTGTCCCCAACCATAGTAATCTCTGGTCTGGTCCCAAGAACGAGGCGGCGGTTCTCGTGTGAGATATGATGTAATCGGGCAGTGGGCTGGATTGTTATCGTAAAGGCGAAAAGGGTTCGCGGGAAGGCGATAAAGGAAATAAACCGATGGGCGATCTTGTCCAGTCCGACGTTGAGCGAGTGAGGTTGGAGGGAAATCGATGGATGACCGATTGACCGACGCCTACCTCACTCCCCTCGCCCTCCCGCTTTGTTCCCCTTTCCGAAGATAGGAAGCGAAGGGAACGGTATCAAGTACCAAGATTTATTACTCCTGGGTAAAGGTATCGTGAGCAATCTCCACCGTTCAAAGATAGCAAAATCAGAATCTTCCATATGCTTCTATCAAGGTCTCTGAGGTGGGGAGATCTAGGTATGTAGAGGGGAATATTGGGGGTAGAGAAGTTGTAGTGACGTTGGCAGTATGTACTTTATGCGAACGTGCTTTCAACAGGGGATGCACAATGCCTACTGCAACGGTACTCTTCTGTACCGTGTACCTACGGGCTGTAGGGTCTCTCTCTACTTATGAGACTTTGTGACTTACCATTCTAGTGAAGCAGCAAGGCCGCAAACTACAACCCATGTAAAAAAACCGTTGTGCCACCAAAAGTCATGGTAATGGAAAAGGAAAGAAGAAAAAGAGGGTGAAGAGAGAAGCAGTCTCCAGAGAGTGAACTGTACGCTATCCCAGAGCGTATATCTATTAGCTGCTAGTACTACAATTACCTCCACTTCTAATACTACGAACCCCCCCCCCCCTCTTCTCATTCATTTCTCTTTCTCTCAACAAACACCAACAACATCGTCTACTCGTTGATAAAAGTCTCACGATATATCACCACACTTAAATATCAAGTATAAAGCCATCAATCTCACGACTGAACCTACCCCTCATCATCTCATATACCAAGAAAGAAAGAAAAAAAAATCTCACCAACGAACCACCACTACCATCACCACAATGACTCTCGGCTACCCCAAACTCTACGCTTTCCCCTCAAAGGAGGCTCTCCAATCCGACCTCTACACCTACGTCCTCCAGGCCCAAACCGATGCCTTTGCGCGCCATTCAAAGTTCAAGGTCGCCGTCTCCGGCGGATCTCTCCCGGCCTACCTCGCCTCGCCACAACTCATTTCCTCCTCAAAGATTCAATGGTCTAAGTGGGAGATCTTTTTCGCCGACGAGCGCGCCGTGCCCCTCGACCACCCCGACAGCAATTACGGCCTCCTCAAAAAGGAGCTCCTCGACAAGATCCCTTCCGCAAACGGCCAGCCAACCGTCATCCCCATCGACGTTGAGCACCTGAACGACACGCAGGAGCTCGCTGATGCTTACGAGCAGGCGCTTGTGCGCTCGTTCGCCGCAAAGGACTCGGTCAAGCTACCGATCTTTGACCTGATCCTGCTTGGGTGCGGGCCCGACGGGCACTGCTGTAGTTTGTTCCCTGGGCATCCGCTGTTGAGGGAGGATGTGGCGTGGGTTGCGCCAATCGAGGACTCGCCGAAGCCGCCGCCGAAGAGGGTCACTTTGACCTTGAGCGTTGTGACCCATGCGATTAAGATTGCGTTTGTAGCGACGGGAGAGGGCAAGCAGGAGGTGCTCAAGAAGATTTTTGACGAACATCCGGATGTCCAGGGAGGTGAGGTCCTCCCGTGTGCGCTTGTGAACAGGGGCGCTGGGGAGAAGGTTAGCTGGTTTTGCGACGAGGCTGCGGTGAAGGGCGTCTCTTTCCCGAAGAAGAGCTCGCTGTAGGGAATAATCATTACTATCCTCCCTGAGTTTTATTTTACCGTTTTTTTCTTTCTCTTTTTCTCTTTACTCTTGGCCAGGTTATATTCCCCTTGCCAAATGCAGAATTAGTACTACTACTAGTATCAACTGTTGTGTTGTTTGTTTCTCGCTTTTATCCCGTTCTAAGGTATCTTTTTTTCTTTTTTTTTCTTCTCTTTCCATATCTTTCCCACGATCCTAGGATTCACGACGTCACGAAAAAACGGTTCAGTTAGATCATAGATGGAAGTGCTTTTCTCTTATTGGAAAATTGGGTTGGGGTTGGGGGTTTGTCAGTGGTACTGGGCTTGGAATAGTGTTTTTTTCTTTTTCTTTTCCTACTTATTCAGAGAGAGGATATCTATGCTTTGTTTTTGCTGTTTCTATGTATTCAAGATACTTATTTTTTACTCGCTGTTCCTTGATTAGTTGACTGAGTGATCCAATATAAAAAGGGTACACCCGTAATGTCAGCCTGTCGCAGGGTTCATGGGTCCTCACTCGACCCCCACTCTATCCAATCGCACCCAGCTAGCTGCTACCCTGCCTTCCATAGGCCTTCCATCGTAGATCCGGGTCGGACATTCTGTAGATCTAGTCCGCCTTGGTAAAAAGAAAACCATTCCTTTGTCCCAGGTACCTCCCTGTGTGTGACGCAGTGCTCATTTGGTTTTCCATAAATCCCTTTCACAAAGCGATTAAAGGTAGATACGGCGCATGTCAACAGCCCCCAACACGTGGAAGTGTGTGTGGCAGAGTTATGGTTCGTTCACTTCCCATGACGTCATGGGGAAAACAACGACACCGACAGCTTGGTTCACCGTTTTAACATGATGGAAGCCGGATTGATCAACTACTCGAACTGACCTGTCTGTTTGTAATCAATAAATTAATTGTCAGTGGTCTTTGGTATATATTGCCACTGTAAAAAAAACTCGCAGGGATAGAGATGTCAGGTTCACGTGCGATCTGCAAATTTTAATCTTTGAACCCCTGGAAACGGGAGCTGAAGCCGAGTGACGGATGTTGAAGGGATATGTAATCATTGAATCAGGTTTGAGACACGATGATCTAGGAGTGACAGTTGTAAGCTTCTGGGAACAGGAACTGGCGGAACTTTCCTAGGTAGATTGTCATCTACTTTGAAGATCCAGGTGCTTGTTTGGCTCTCTGACTCACGGGCTGCCTGGTACGGATACTAACGGAAGATATAGCCAAGCTGAAGATCCTTCATTGATACCAATTTCTCTCACGGCTTGTTGAGTGACGGCAAACATTTCAGTGGCATCGTAGAATGGCACATTAGCTCATCACGAACGGTCAATTCTCGAATACTTTCGCATCATGGTAGAACCTTACTTTGGCAGATCCTTTTGTCCTGGTGGCTTTGGTACGAGCTTCTCGATTGGGTCTTTTCATCGTTTTTAAATGACTTATCGGAGGAAGCTATATATACTGCCTAAGGCAACGAGATAGGATTAGATGGGGAGTTTTTCTCTTCCGTCACAACATATCATTCGCTCCTGAAATGTGGCTATATACATACATAAATATTTATTCTAGGATATACTACTCGCGCGTTAATTAAGTCCTGAGAAATTTTGTGAGGTCGTTGCTACCAAGAATTCTCAATACGTGAGTACATTCTTCTATAAAAGTTTATTTGATAGATAAGGATTAAACCCCGTGAAATCCGTCCCTAGTAGTAACTGCTAGCGAGATTGTGGCCTTAACCCACCTGTTGTTTTCTTTCAAGGGTCACGAACGATTGTAATTTGATATTTCATTTCCAAAGAAAAAGGAGGAGAGAGAGATAATAATAATGCCCCGAATGTCGGAGACAGAGGGGGTCGCGGGTGGAATAGTACAAAGTTGCCTATCTAAGTTTAGTTCACTATGGAATCAATGATTATTCAGCCAAATCCATCACAGCCTGGGAGCATTTTCCGGCGTAGTCTCTGGCGGTCATTCCTTGGCACATATAAATCTCGAAGTCAGTCCCTTTTACTAGGTCAACTTAGAGAGGAGAGCGAAGGGGATCCTGGAGGGTGGGAGGAGGAGGGGGTGCCGAAGGCACCTCAATACCGAGTATCCCATGATTATTGACATATACATGTACTATCTATACTCTAATCCATAATTATAATCCAAGTAGTCGCAATGTAGACCTCAAAGAAGAGCAGAAATATTCGGGGCCTAGCCAGCCTGCTGGCAACCAGTAATACAAATTCAACTTATATTTATCTCCCAAATCCGGTTAGGTTTACAAGATTGTAAATGGAACTACATGCGTGTAGGTACCTACGTTTTTTGGATCTTTGAGTAGTACGATAAACTCAGAAAAAGAAAACCTCTAGTTATACGAAATACATTCTCCTGACTTCAAAAAATCGTACAAACTCGGAAAGGAAATACACTAACACTTGATTCAGAGTACATAGCAGAAAACAAGAGGTAAAAGAGTGTAAGTAGTAGGCTCATGGACCCGAGCAAATAGCCCATCTGATGTCAATACCAGATTGTAACTCAGGGATTAAATGAACTTTATAAGCTTGTCAACAAAAAAGCCAGAAACATCGCAGTAATAACAAAAAGAATGATACAAAACTGCTATAAACTACCGAATCCTAGTATATCTTTATTACAAACAAATCAAGCATAAACAAACACAAATGTAATCAGCTAATCATCAATAACACCCATCCCGATGAAGGTACACAAAACCACTGTGTGTGTAACAATTTATCCGTCAAATCCATTGTTCGCGCCCATGCCCATGCCAAAAGAAAACAAATAAAACAAAAAAATTAAAGTGCTTCTCAAGAAGAAAACCCATCGCTGTATCATCAGTTCCCTGTATACTCAAGAACCTCACAATCGTCTTCAAAAAAGCCCTCATCCATCCCTATTTCGGTTCCGAATGCGCCCCCTTTCACACGCCGCCCTTTCTTCCCAACAATCTTCTTCTTCCCGTTCATCCCAGTGCCTTCCAGCTTCAAATGGCTAGCCATAGCCTCCGCAAGACCGCCTTCATCGCCAGCAAATTCTACCTCTCCGCGAGCAGATCCAATGTTCAACTTCTCTGCTGGTAATGGCAAGCCGAAAACCCACTGGTCCGCTGATTTCTTCCTTTTCTCTGGCGTTGGTGACTCTGGGCGAGACACAGGCGGTGAAAGAGCGGCAGGCGTAGCTGCGCCGCGTTTACCACGGCGTTTGTGCTGAGTATCTTGTCTTGTTTCGTCATGCTGCCAGTCATTACCTCGCTGTGGGTGCTGTTGTGGAAGCTGATTACTGCTTCCATTATCCGTATAGACGAATAGACGTACATGCCGGTCTGTGTGGAAAGGGGGGAAGACAGCGTTTGTTTCAATCTCGGCAAATGAGAGTGGATGTTGGTCGTATTTTGTCTGTTCCTCGCTGCGGTGGTGGTAGTAACGTCCACTCCAGTAGCCACCAGCTTGTTTTTCCTCGCCTTCTATTGAGAGTTGTTGCTGCTGCTGAGATCCATCAGGGAGGAGCGGAAGCTCATATTCGAGATAATTGTTCATGACTACACCGCCACCGTTTTGACGTTTTTTGCTCCCACCACCGCCAGGTTTAACCTCATAGATTCGTAATACCCCCCCACCATTCATAGCCACGTAACCTCGTTCTTTCCCAACAAGAAAGCGGACGCAACCAGCAGTAACAGCGCCAAACCCCTGGGGAAGAGAAACACGAATTCCACTATTATCATTGGGAGAGCCGCTGTTGCTATTACTTTGGCCGCCACGTTTGGCAGGGTTACCAGCACCACCATTGACAAATATCCCTCCACTTGGGGATCCAGAGCTTCCTCCGCTTCTTCTTCGTCTAGCAGCTGAAAGTAATGGCTGTGTAGAACTGCTTAACAGGTTCACCGCTCCCGAAACTGCTGCACCTGCCGCACCACCACTACCTCCGGTTGTGACCGCACTGGAAGATGGCGGGGGCTTTCTCGGAGGCGGCCATTGATAGGCTCCACTGGGTAAGTCATAGAAATGAACAGTTCCTTTCTCCGTTACCACGGTCAACTTCTCGCCCCGCGGACTAGACCATCCAACGTCTACAATCGTCGCAACTGTCAACCGGTTGAACCTTGCTATTTGTCTGACATGTTTCCCTAATGCAGCTGGGTCTGGAGCTCCAATTGTAGACCCTGTCATCTTAGCAGCATCCGACCCACCCCCGAGAGACGCACTTGTCTTATGACCTAGTGATGGATTTCCAGGCGGGTGATGTATAGCTCTCATAAGATCCCAAACAAACAAGGAATCTCCCTTCGTACTTGCAGTCAACAGAGCTAGGCCTCCCGGTGCGAAGCTCAGATAGCTGACGCCTCCTTGAGGCAGAAAGGTCGCCATTGGCGTAATACTTCCCTGTTGAGTCCCAGAGCCACCATCTCCATGCAAGATCTTGTTTAAATCTAGGATACCAACAAGCCTTGGTTCGTTTGTAGGCTGCTGGGCCGTATTTTGAAAGAACTGGGTTTGCGGCGGGGTTCCGCCCATCTGCTGCATTTGCCGCAATTGCTGGCCTAATCCACTCGGTTGGGAATTCCCTTGAAAACTTATCATACTTCCATTAGGCATCCCGTACATTCCTCCATTGATGCCAGCTATTGGTAACGGGGGTGCCGGAGGCGGAGGAGCGCCATTGTTCTGGTTTCCATTCCAATAACTTTGCAGTGCTTTCTTCCCGGTCTCGGTCGCCCACTTGGCACCACGTATAAACTCTTGAGTAACTTCTCGAGTAAACCGGTTGAGGAGGGCCTCATCTTCGGCAGAAACGGCGACTGTGAGGGAAGGCTGGATTGGGGGGCACTGAGATGTTACAGATGGAGAATTGCAAGCTGCATCGACTTCACCTCCGGCGTGAACAGAAGATCCCGCGGATGCAGGGCAGTACGCTAACCACCCATTAGAAATAGAAAACACCGGCGTTCCGTCAACAAAGCCATTCCCTGCAATACCACTATCGACGGAAAAGCTGCCCTGGTGGTTTGTTTGCACACATGTCCACACCTTTCCAAGACACCTCCATTCAGCTTGTTCTTTGCTTCCTTTTCTGAGAACTCCATCTTCAAGGCCAAAAATGTACAATTCTCCACTGATCCCGACACCTACAACTACTTTTGTGCCAGTCACCTCCACCCGCAATCCACCCCATGGTGGTGGTGGTCCACCAATACCAAAGCCGAAATCGGCGCTAGGAACTACTGGACTGGTAAACAGACTAGCGATCTTCTTCCTTGAAGATAAACTCCAAATTTCAACTCTGGTCTGCCAATCCGTTGCATTCGCTGGCGAATGATGTCCACTTCTGTTAGATGCAGAAGTTGAAGGACGAGAGGGTGGAGATGTCGAGTACGGGGTTTCTGTTTCCTGTACTATGGGTGGGTCTGATTCAATGGGCACCACAGAAGAATGTATCGTGAGGCATATCAAAGGTCTATGGGCTGCAAGAGGATCATTTCGAGGCGGGGTAGGTAAAATCTAACAAAGTTAGTTTTATGACTCACATACCAAATTTCGAAACTCAGGGTTTCCTGCAAAAAGACAGTGAAAACCTCATTCGAGAAACAACTAGTCCCTCGATTTTAGGGTTTAACAAGAGTGTGGGGTGTTACCTTAGCACTCTTCACCCCACCTCCGAGTCCCTCCAATCTGCCAACCTGTTCCAAAACACCTCTTCCAACCTTCCAAACATCGACACCACCTTCCCAACCAAGACAGAGTACATTATCGCCTCCGCCGCTGCCTCCGCCATTGCCTGTTGTAGCACCTGCATGACCTCCGAAAGGTTCATCTAAAGTATCAAAACTACAAGCGTAGTTTCCCTCCCCCGGCTGTAACTGCGGCTGTAATCCCCCAAATTGCGGGCTCAATGGGATTGGTGAACCCTGCACAGCATATCGTTGGCTTGGGTTGTAGTAACCATTACTTCCCGGAGCGCTGTGGTTTGTAAATTGCTCTTCAAAACCTGGATACCCGCGGATTTGTCGAGGGTTCCCGTTACTACCGCTATAATTCCCACCCGATGAATATGAAGCAGGTCCACTTGGAGGAGGAGAAACACCGACGCCTAGACCGACGCCGCCCGAAGCTGATCCAAGACTATTGGGGCCGTTTGTAGAGGGTGTTGAACTAGACAAGAACGATGCAAATGGGATAGACCGTGGAAAGAGGTCTGTTGCGTTTGGTAATGCGGAGAGGAGTGGAGAAGCTGTGTTGGAGAGATGTGGAGATCTTGGTGCAGTGTGACGACTATTGCTGTTTGCCACCAGCTTTGGGTTAGCTATTACTCCTTAAGCGTTGGTCATATTACCGGGTAGTCTTTGGGTGAATGTTATGGTGATAACGATAAAGGGGGTTTGACAGGGAGGTTTAATGAAATTATGACTCAAAAAAACAAAGTAGGAATCAAGCGGGGATACCGACTATTCTCTAGGATAAATTCTAGCTCTCGAAGAACCAAACGCGTTTCCTCCTCCAAGTGCTGAGGCTCCAGGTGCGGGCGCAGTAATAGGGAGTGGTTTAGAAGGTAAGGACGAGGAGGGGGTATTGCGGTATTGACGAGGATTCTTGTAGTGGTCGGTAAACGCGGGCATATAGTCTTTATTAATTGAGTACGGGCTACAAAGCTAAGCTGTTCTCTTTCTGGCTCTTCCTTTTGTAGACTGAGAGTGTCGAAAGGGAAGAGAGAAAGAGAACAACAGGAAGCTAGCAGAGTCTAGGGAGTTTTGTAGTAAAGTAGAGATGTCCCGAGAAACGGGAACTAGAGGTCTGGATAGTTGGCGAAGCTGAATAGGTGAAGCAATATTGTCCGTGTGGATATTTAGAACACTGTATATATGGTTTGTATTGGTGAAAGCTGATGTATGTACGGATGAATGTACTGGCTGGTTGTGTTAATGTATTGGTTGATGGATAGCTGCAGGAGGTAGGAGGGAGGGAAGGAAGCTCTGAGGTGGGTAGAGCAGGGCGAGCGATTATGTTCCAGAGATGAGGGCAATGACGAATAGGGACGCAGAAGGTAAATTGTGGAAATAGCTTGTTGGAGCTCTTTTGAGCGGAAGGGTACAGGTGAATAGAGGTAGAAGTGGGGGGAGCAGTGTCCTAGAGCTCTCCTAAGTAGATAGAGTACCAGATAGGTATGTGTGTAATAGGTACCTACTTGATCTATGGGTTCTGTTATTGTTATTGCTGGCAGATATGGTAGAAGAGGTAAGTATCTATTTAGAAGAAGGTACTACAGGTTAGTTATGTTGGAGTCATGCACGAGAGCTGTGGACTCCTGGAGGTGGGGTTCGCCGCCCGCGTTCTTGGGTTGATCTGTACGCTTCACCCAATCCTATTGCCCAGCGTCTGCATGAGGCAGCAGTACACAAGGACACCCGATGCTACTAAGTTAGATTCCCATCACACACCTTCCAGGATTACGAGATGCTTCTACCCCTTCCACTTGCTTCTGACGGCCCGGTCCCCTTTTCCAGTTCTTGTGCCTGCGTTGTCCGCCTATCTACAGTACAACACATCAGATAGGGCCTTCCTTCACTTACCCAGAGTGCCTACCTAAGATCCAGACTTCCGAGGTTATCTAATCTTTAGGGTACAGAAACGGTATTCTTCGGCTAAGACCGTTGGAACCCGGAGCTGCTTCTCCTGCTTCTGCCAGTGCAAGAGATGAGATTGAGGAGGGGTTTCCGGTACTCTAGATAACAAAACACTTGCTGGTTCGTAGTAGTTATCTACCCATTACAATAGGTCTCTCTGGATAATTTATTCGTCCCATTTCAAATAGGCTCTATGAAATGTATCTAACCTACATATATACAGTGACTACATGTACATGTACCTACAGGAAATTAGGTGCTCTACTCTCTAGTAAGGGATGATGGATGGGGTCGAACAAAGAAATCCGCTACTCTGCTCCCAGACCCGTGGACAGTCTAAAAGGACCTGATTCCCTTCGGTGATCATCGTAATCATCCGGTAGCAAGTGCCCAATCGATAAGCAACAATGCTTGTCGCGGGGTTTAAGGCAATGAGACTGCATCAAAGATCTCCTGTCAACAGGCTGAATCTTGGTCAGGTGAACAGGTAAAGTGCTGCTCATACATCCTATGGGCTGTGGCACAACACCCAGCGGTAAGTATCACGTTGCCAATGATGTAACGATTAGGCCTCTTTATTTTACCCTTCTCTTCCTGTTCTGTCGGAGGATCCAGGGCCTGGGTTTATCCCATAGACAAAGTTTGAGTATGATGAAGTTCCACCTCACTAAACACCCATATGTGCACCCACTAAACTGCTTGTAAATAGATATTGCTTCACTCAAGGACCTACGAGAGGGTTTGAGTAGCTCATTATTCGACAGTTAACAAAGACACATGCTTGTAGGTACCTACTCTACTTTGTTTACTCCATGTATGTAGAGTAAATACTTAGGTATGTAGGCACATATATGATCTGCAGATGAGTGTTTGAAAACAGCACTTAGGCCTAGGGTTCAGGCGTCCACTTCCCTCTGGTTTGTCCGCAAAGCTCCTTGCCTCGCTGGCCCCTTTCCCGCTCTCGGTTTTAGGCCGATGGAAAGCGTTGATACCATAGCTTCTACACACTTGTTCATGTCGCCTGCATAGTTCCATGAAGGGTAATTCAAGAAACAGATCGCTGCGACAATCGAAAAATCAACAGCGAAGCCTTTCAATTTTTGAAATTATTACTTGTGTACAGTAGCGTATGGATGTACCGGTACTACATGTAGTAAAATACAAAGGCATATCATCAAAAGAAACCAGTTTCTCGTAAAAATTGGCCTTGTTCTTTTTTTTTTTTTTTTTACAGGACTGAATAGGCTCAAATAAAAGACTCTTTCGTACCAAGTCCTGACTGCACAAGTAGCAAACCGTTCATTCATTCTCAAAGCAAAGTAATATATGTTATCACGTAGTGATTTGATAATCGCCAAGGATTAAAAAAAAAAAAAAAAAAAAAGAACGCTCTGGGGTACAGTCAAGCTCTTGGTCTTTCGGTGTTCGGTCGCAGTACTCTCTCCCCACCATTCACATCGTCATCACCACAGACCCAAATGTTCCATTTACCCCGACTTTTTTGAGCATCAATTTCTAAATCGCTGTTCTAGCAATTAACTCCGCCCATATTCTTCAGCCATCGCAATCATCGTTATCACTACTATCGAGAGCTTTCGGATATAACCGGTGGATCTTTAATCCCCACTATCGCAATCGTCACAACGACAGTAGCAGCTCTTTGCTCCTCCTCACAAAGCCCCCCAAAAGTTCACTCACGTCTTATCGTACATCCGTCACCACGGCTGCCTCAAAGCTCTCCGCTCGACTGGAAGCCCTCGTCTTCCAAGACACTGCGGACATGCAGGTCCTACCCCCGCCACCCGCTTCGAGAGGCCCTGACATCCTCACCAATCCAGTCATCCTTGAGTCCATACTCCCTGAGCTACCTCATGTGTCAGACATCCTTTCGCTACAGTTGGTCTCTCGTCAACTGTATCTACTTGTTCAGCCCCTCCATCCCCTCTATGCTCGCGAGATCTCTTTTGCCCATCTTCCAGAGGTCAAAAATAAGGATCTCATCACAGTATTACATCGCTCCCTTCGCCCAGGCCCATCAACTCAGCGTCGGTTATTATCCGATGGACGAACTGTCACCGTTGGCGAAGGAATAGGGAAGGCTTATGTTGGTCCTTGGAGGTTTCTTCGTTCCATCACATTGACGGGCACAGCTATCACTGGCAGATCTGTTAAGCTCTTAATTGCTGCTTCTTCTGGTGGTAAAATCCCAGGACTACCGGAGTTACTTCGTGAGAGGCAGACAATTCATTCAAATGGCGACCTTGATCTGGATATTGATCACGGTGTAACTAACGGGTTCTTCGCCAAGGAATTTGGGTCTATTTCTCCAGGGGCTTATCGGCTTCTCGCCGATCAATCGCTACGTTTAGATAAGCTGTGCATTACAGATTGCCCACAGGTCGAGATTACCGACATCAATAACTTCTTAAAAAAAATCTTGATAGCTGTAACTGCCCCCAAGCGCAGAGAACTGAGGCTGAGGGCATCACAGCAAGCTGCAGTTGTTGCCGCGCAGCATCAGCTAAATGGGCCTCCAAATGTCCTTCAACCTTTTGGTGCCCCCGCTGCGCAAGCTGCTGGCAACGCTCAAATCGGCGCGATAATTGCCCAGCAGCAATTACAACAGCAAGCGCCGACTCTATCAGAGGATTTGACTAGTATTCCATACCCACTTCCTGCCACCGTCGAAGAATTAGCAGAATTTGGTCTCCCTTGTTTGTCGTTGAGGCGCCTTGAGGTCGCGAATGTTGGTGGACTGTATGTGGACCCACCTGAAAGATTTCGAGGGAAAAAAGAGTGGAACTATTCCAAAGATTGTCCCTTTGGGCGTAATATTGGGAGTCTCAACTCGATTGCGGGCTGTCTCGGCCTTGACGTCGATGTTCTCTTTTGCCAAGGTGCAGGCTGTGCCACTAGTTCAGACAATGGTAGGTGGCGTCAGAGTAGTCCTTACGGGTTCGATGCCGACGATTTTGATTCCTTCGATGGAATTATCCCCGACTTGGCAAATTCCCGGGAGCACAATCCTCAAGCTCCATCTCAAAGCGGTGAACCCTCAGTTTCTAGCAACAATGACAAAGGCAATGCCCGTCGTTCTTACCATTACCCACTTCCGCGCCTTCCTGGGGAAAGAATTCTTATGTCAGAGGATGGGCGTATCTTCAGAATTCCGAGACACGCACTCCCTAATACAATTAATCAACCACAAAACTTACAGGCTCCAATGAACCAACTCCAGCAAGGGAATCAGCAAATAAATCAGCAGGTACAGCAGCATGCCATGAATATTATGAATAACATGTACCCCCCGAACCATAATATACTACTCAATATGCCAGGTGCGTTCCCGGGTGCTGGTGCTGGTGCTGGTGCTGGTGTTGGTGTTGGTGTTGGTGCTGGTGTTGGTGCTGGTGTTGGTGCGGGTGCGGGTGCGGGTGCGGGTGTGGGTGTGGGTGCGGGTGCGGGTGCGGGTGCGGGTGCTGGTGCTGGTGCGGGTGGGGGTGTGGCTGCGGCTACGGCTGTGGCTACCTTTGGCACTGGTCATTTAACCTTTGGTGCCAACGGTTGGCCAACGGTGACTGTGATGAACGGTGGTAACGGTGGCAATGGCGGTGGCGGGGGCACAAATGGATGGGCGAGTAACCTCTTTCTCCAGGATCCCGCGCAGTACGGACTTGGGACGTTGCACCATCCACAGCATGATAATCAGACACAAGCAACTGTCCCAGATCAGACGCTGATGCAGATGAGTACACAGACCTATCCTGGAACTGGTACCGATCCCAATTTACCACCAAACTCTACAGTACAGCCACCTGATACTATCACTCCAGCAGTCACTTTGACTCCTCTTACTCATCATAATATTGAATTTGGTCCTGCACTCCCCCCAGACTTAGGAGAGCCTAGTAACATCGACGCAATTATTAGCCAAGATTTAAATACGGATACCACCAACTCTTCCCAGGAACCAAATGTAGATGGTGGGCAGCCCAGCGGTGCTATCTGGCAAGGTCTCTTAGCTACTTCTGTGGCGGATGCAAATGGTGTTCAAACTCCACCTTACGGTCAGTCAGCATGGAATAGTGAAACCGCACAATCGATGTCAGCGCCTGTGTCTTCATCATCTGCTTCCGGATCTTCACTTAATCCACCTCTCCCAATTCCCACAGCATTAACAACACAATCTACTCCTGAAGTTGCTCATGCGCAGTGGGGCCCCGGTCCAGCCACGCCTCCGGCTCCTATACCAGCGTCAGCACCAACACTAGTACCAGCACCCGCACCAGCTCCAAATCAAAACCAAACCGCAACTGCAGATGTAGTTCAAGTGGGAAATCATACACACCAAAATCAGGGCCCTGTTGCACAAATGATACAGCCATATTTGCCAGCAGCAGTGGGTGCTGGTATTGGGAATCCACATCCGCACCTGGTAGGAGGATTTGCACCAATGGTACTACCGCATCTGCCCAGGAGGAGGAACAACTCACCTGGTGGAAGCCGCGGCGGGGCGGGTCAGACAGGGGCAAGGCCTGGGAGAAGAATTGCCATGTTGGACGGGCCAAGGGGGCTTTGTGAAAGATGCGAGAGAGAGGTATGGCTATGTGATAGTTGTAACAGGTACTGGGTTGTTACTTGTGGAGGATGTGCCGCAAAACATTAAATCAGATACTGTCAGAGTAGGGAAGAATATTCTTGACGCTTTTCATAATCTTGGTGGGTTGGTTCTTCAATTTTTTATTATCATTATTATTATTATTATCATTATTTCATTGGAAACGGTTTAAGGTTTTCTTTTTCTTTTATCTCTTATTCGTTTTGCCCCATTATTTGGTTCATGGTTGTTTGGGTTTTCATATAGGTTGGTATACTTTTCACTTCTGTTAACTTCCTTGAGAATATCCACCGGTCGTTTCCTTTTTTTTTCTTTCTCTTTTGTCCTGATTCTTTTCTTTCTATATGGCTTTGATATATGAGAAAACTTGGGTAGCGACGAAACGATAAAAAAAAAAGTTGGTGTAGGGCTAGATCAAAATGTCGAGCGGTTATGAAGGCTTCGGGAACGAAAAATTGCGGGATCACGGTTATGCTACGAATTAAATCTTGCTCTTTACCTTTAGGGCAATTGATATCGTAGCATTTCATCTTTCTCTCTCTCACCCTTTTTCTGCTTCAATACCTGAACTGGATTTGAGCAGGTTTACTGGAAGTTATTACATCGGGTTCAGGCGTTTTAATCCGAGTAGACGATAGAGGCATGTTATGTTTGTGGGGACTGTAATGATCTTTAGAATAGACAATGATACTTAACGAGACATAATTATACACTCATGAAGTATCACTCGATCCGTTTTCCCTCTTATCGTGTGTGTAACCGTAACCGCAAGTGAAACCGTCACATCGACCTTCCGTACTGGGGGGATCTAGGTTCGCCCCGTCGCTGGTTAGTTGTTCCGCAAATTACTGCATGCATGCCCGTTACAGACATTGTTCATTCCCAGGAGTTTTAAAGTTTAGTCAAAGGAAGGAAAGGAACTCCACGTAGGTTTAACTACATATTAGAGTTTTGTCGAAGAGGTCACAAGCACCGTCTTGACTCTTAAGCTCATCGAGGGACATTATGACGTGCTTAAAACGTACCTCAAGCAGATGACCATGCCCCGTGTACCTTGGTGTTCTATTCCATCTCTTCATTCCTCTTACCAAGATCTAAAGTTGGATGAGACAGCAGATGGCTTGGCAGGGGACAAGATTCACGTAAGCCCAATCGGCAAAAAAATGACGCTTGGCATCTGGGTATAAAAAGGTCGAGAGCCTCAAACTCCTCTTCTCTCCTTAGACAGACTGCCAGCAAAAAAAACACATTACTTACGGCCTCCTTCTGTGGTGTCAAAGCCACATATCGGAAGGGGGTTTTCGTGCTGGCAGAGAACAACTATACGGGCCCATGGCTGGGCGCCTGGCTTCGATGAATGTAACTGTTCAGAGGAGAAGTTGGGAATCAGCGAGGGTCATAACCATCCACCTTCATACTTGTTTGTAGTATGAAGTAAAACTTCCCCCCTCCTGTGTATATAGAATTTAGAGATGGCTCGATTCTAGCGGATCTATAGTATAGCCCAATAACAATAACCATAATGATAATTTTTAATTGATAGATTCCCTTTCGTCCTGTGTCCTGCCTGTGTAACAGTCTTAATTTTTGAAACCTTCAACCCCTCTTATCGACTTCACGCTGTCTTTCCTGCCTTCTTCGGACTCTTGTGCGTGAAATTGGGCATGCATTCGTGTCCTTTTTCAATCAGTTTGATGGTCCCGCGAACCAGGCTCGTTCACGTCGAACGCTTACGCGGCGTTTCAAGTATCGAGGCTTCGACGGAGCAAACGGGCCCTCCAGGATTAAGCTTCTCTGGGCCTCGGCGGGTAGTGTTCCGAGATAGATGACGTTGGCCTGTCAAGATGCCTACAACAGGACCTAATCTGAGTTGAGCAGAGAAGGTTGTTTGCTTACTTCCGGCAAGAGGCCTGGTTGTGCCTGATTGACGCGGGGGAGGGAAGGGGGTTAATATAAAATATGGTTGAAATGGGGTTTCATGTATTAGGGATTGATAGAGTACAAGCCAGTGCGATCCACCTAGACCTACGAATTGAAATTATTGCTTTTCAAAACTTTCGGACTTACTCGACTATTCAGGGTCCTCGAGTAGAGAGACTTGCGTCACTGGTAGTGGATCCTATCAGAGCAGAATGGGGAAGTACTCCACCACCGGTGTTTTCTGACTCCGAGCAGCAACTTTTTCGAGCAAGGGCAGGCAAGGAGCAGGGTGGGTCGTTCCTGCATGAGCGGACAGAACAGTACAGAACTGTCTAAAGTACGTAGCCCTCGACGACGAAAAGAATATTGAAGTCCCCCCTCGACAAACTTCAGTAAGGTACGCAATACGCGATATACCTGAGCACGCGATCTCATACAGCCAATCTGAAACTCCACGCGGCCGTCGTTCCCCGCCCCGCCTAAATCAAAGGGAAAAAGGAAAAAAAAAAGGAGCGCAAAAGTAGATACGTCCGCAGCAGATGCGTCTCCCTGTGCTGCGAGGCGTAGTGAGTGGTTTTAACGGGGTTTGTGGGGGAATGAGATGTCGAGGGGGAGGACAGGGCGCTCATGTTAGCATTGGCGATGGTGGTGGACGATATATCTTGCCCTGGGCCCGGCCCTTCCATCCAAGATCTCTGCTGCTTATCCGTTCGCTACGAACACGTTCCCTCAAGGTATCTACTAGTAGTGAACCTGTTGTACTACCGCGCCCTAACCATTGCCGCTCCTTCTCGACCACATTACCATCGTCTAACTCTAGATCCTCCATCACGAACTATCACCAGGCCCAGGTCCCAAACACAGCACTCGTTCAGTCATCTGCCAGCAGACCCCTAATCTACAAACTCAGAAATATGGCATCCTCACAGCAACGGGACCACGGTGGCCACTCACATGGTCACCATCACCACCATGACAATACCTACCTGACGTCGAAAAACAAGGCAGATGCTGGTGTGAGAATTACACGACTGGGCCTGTACACAAACGTCGGGATGGCTATCGGAAAAGGGATTGGTGGCTGGTACTTCAATTCGCAAGCTCTGGTAGCTATCCCCACCCCGAGAGAGAAGATGAAAGCGCAAGAGGTTAAGCTAAACAAATGACTCGCTACAGATCGCGGATGCATTTCATTCCCTGACAGATCTCATCTCAGATATCATGACATTAGCTACAGTATCTTTTGCCCTAAAGAAACCAACAGAACGATTTCCCAACGGTTATGGAAAGATAGAGAGCATGGGAAGCTTGGGTGTCAGTAGCTTGTTGCTGGTTGGCGGGTTACTTATGGGTTCGTCTCACTAAGCTACTTGTCTCTGGGAGCTTTTATTCTGACAGGCAGGCGACCTATCAGGATATCACGCTTTGGACGCCTTGTATGCACAGTTCTTTTTGGATCACGCTGAGGCCTTGGCACATGCGGCCCACGGCCACGGACATGGCCACGGTCACTCACACTCGCATACCGATCTGGGACCAAATGTGAATGCAGCATGGCTCGCAGCGGCATCAATTCTCATCAAAGAATGGCTGTACCAAGCCAGTAAGTTTACCTCACACCATCCACTGGAATTCAAACACTAATGTTCGCTCCTACCTACAGCTATGAAAGTTGCCAAAGAACGTAAATCCTCCGTCCTTGCCTCGAACGCGGTCCACCACAGAATCGACTCCTTGACCGCCGTCGTCGCCCTTGCATCCATCACCGGTTCGCATTTCCTTGATAACGCAAGCTGGCTCGACCCCGTTGGCGGTCTCCTTGTCTCCATAATGGTTATCACTGCGGGCTTCGGAAACACTAGGGCTGCGCTAACGGAACTTGTCGACGTCGGACTTGATGATGAGGTTAGGGGTGATATTAAGGAAGCTGCGGAGAAGGCCCTCGCTCTACGACAGGAAAGACTGAGCCTTCGGGGCGTTGGTGGACTTAAATCTGGACAGAACCTTCTTGCCGAGCTGACGGTCGAGGTTCCGGTTGGCACCACCGTGGCACAGACTGCTAGGATTGAGGAAGAGTTACGAGAAATCGTTGGCGCGGAGGTGAGAGGAATCAGGAGGGTCAAGGTTAGATTTGTAGAAGAGGGAGTAGCCGAGCAGACCGAGTTCGTGGAGAAGGAACAATCCCTTGAGTTGGAGAAACATGAGCACCACGACCACGACCACGAACCCAAGGGTGGGAAGGCGTTATAGATCATTTATTCATTAAGACATAGAGATGTACTGTATTTTGGGGTTCTGTTTTCTTTGGGATTCAATCCTTTTGGCCTACTTATTTCATCTGGCAAAGATTGGGTTGTGTATGTATTATAACTGTCTTTGGTAAAAATTGTTTGTTGTATTGTTTTAGCACATATATATTATTTCATTTTCCTCGAGAAGATGTATTCAATTTCTTTGTTTCACAGCTGGTCCTGGTATATTTTACACTTTCTTATTCATTCAAATAACACAACTCATCACAGAATATCACTCGACGGATGTTGCGCAAACCTTCCCTCTCCTTTCTATGACTAAGAGCCAAGAATAAATTTTCCCATTAAGATGAGAATTAATAGACATGAGGAGACTGCACGTACTTGTTATTCAGTTGTGGGGGAATGGTAGCAAAAAACCCCAGTATAGCTGGGTTGTGACCCAACAAGCTGCTTCTGATAACTGCGCCCGGGGAATTTGCAGAACGTCCACACCATACTCGAAAAAAGGGGCGTCATGTCAACTAAGACAGAGACATGCATTTCTCTACCCTATCTTGATCGCAATCCAAGTCATTTCGTACTACCAGGAGTCGCTGCTACCTGGTTTTCCCACCGATAACACACCTTGGCGGCTTCCAAACACCCTTGGATACTTGACTACCGGCTTTTTTAATGAGCCGGATCGCGTAGCTGAGTCTGACACGTGAAGAGAGGGTTAGCCCGCTAAACCTGCAATCATGTAATATCACTCGGCCCGCGCTCAGCGGTCGTTTCTCGCAGCAGCGGTTTTACTGATTGGTTGATTGCTTCTTCAAGGTAGTGTAGTGGTTCTGCTGTATCCAGGCGCTCCTCCAAAAGAGCGCGTGTGGAGCTTGGAAAGTTGTAGTCGAGTTCCTCCCGGCGTGCGGGAAGCATTCCATATTAAAAGCAGCCCCGGCCGGCCGGCCGGTCAGGTACGGACAGACCATCTAGACGGGGGGAATGACCAACCGCCCCTCTCGCTACCCTTTTCCCGGTGCTGCGGAGCGGGTGGGCTCTAGGGGAACACGGAGGGGTCAATTATGGGATCGAAGAGACCTTGGAATCTGCGGGGAAGTATGGCTTGCTAGTCGTGATCATGCACCGGCCAACACCAGCTGGAGGTAACGAGCTTCGGCAATTATTAGTTTAGACAGCGGCGAGCGCAAGAAGGCGATAAGGACGGACAGGGTGGTCTTGATAGTTAATTAGGTACGGTATCGATGTATAGCTCCGAACTCCTCGAGCCTGAGGTCCGGACGGCGTCGATATCAGGTAGGTATGAACCTTCAATACTCAACTCTCATGACCAGTACTTTTAGAAGAGGAATAATGCATTGTCCCTCGATAGACCCGCCGCGACACATGGGAAGAAAAAGACAAAGCGGGCGGTTTGAGCTGTTAGTGGCAAGAGGTCTTTTGGTAGGAGAACATGCACTATTTCGTATGTAATTATAACGATTGGGAAAAGAGACCAGATGGCCATATATGGTCCTATTTAGCTCCATTTGTCCTTTATCTGCTAGTAGGAGGATATCGAGTAACTGTATGTCTGTCATTTCCCTGGAACCCAAGATTAATTGTACTTAAAAGATACTCCCACAATACCGGCCTCCCGCGAACGACTATCAAGTCTCAACAAGAAGAACACAGCCCAAACATTAGAAGCAAAGTATTTGACTCCGAATCGACTTCCCTTTTCATTTTTAATCCCCACAAAGGTATTGTACATGAAATGAATATGCTAAGCCTAAGCAACATTAAGGCGCACACCTCAAGTCGAATAGTCGCATCTTGACAGGAAAGAGAAAAAAAAGAAGAAAAAACCATATGATAACAATACTCCTTCCATGTACCCAAAACCAAACACCAAAGGCGCCAGCCATGCTGAGAGACAAAAAAGCAGAAAGAAAAAAACACAATCCCCAAAAGCGCCGAAGCCGCAATTCTAAAAAATACATACATGTAAAAAACAACCCAGACACCGAGACCACCATCCTAGGAGACTCCAGAAACGAGACGACAACGGTTAAGAAAGAAAGGAAACGGGTTCGGGGTAGTTATCATGAGCAGCGTATTAAGGGCAGAGACTGGGGAAAATTAGGAAAGGGAAATTTGAAGACTTGTACGAGGGGCATGAGAAACATTAATAGGAAATCTGAAAGGATTGTAATTGTAACGTGGTTGGTACTTGTCGGAGGTAGTAGTGGTTATCGGCGTGTAAGGTTGGAAACGTAGCTAACACATTCGCCGAAATTAAAAGGCCGCCCCTCCTTTGGCGCACGCACCATCATCCCGTCCAGCTTCCTAGTAGAAGACATGTTAGCAAGAAGCACAGGCAGCTACACCAGAACACACTTCGAAATCTTACCTTAGTCATCAAAAGCAGAAGGCATCTGACCCTAGTCAGACCTCTCATATTCCCTCGCAAGCACAACCAACGCCCTCACATCAGTGCTGACACGCCTGCGTACAGTATCAGGATTGCCAACAGTCTCCCACAAGTCGGGGTACTCGGTAGCCAAGATCTGCCAGGCAGTCTCCATGTACCTATAGAGATGCGGAGCATTCTTCTCAGGGATACGGTCGAAACGAATCCTGAACTCGACGGCCGCGAGCAATGCGAAGACACACCTCGGATCGCTCAAAATGCGGCGCAAGAAGCACCCAGCGCAGTCCTTAAGCTGGAACAACTTATGTTCCGCGTACGGATTAAACAAGACGAGCGAATCGTTTGGAGGGACGACGATCTTTCCTTTAAAAAACTTCTCATCCCAGACCAAGTTGACATTAATCAAGAGCTTAACGAACTTGTTCTCCAAGCGGGCGTCGAAGAAGCCCCTACTGTCCTTCCAGGCCTCATCGCGGACGCATTTGATTAAGTCGAACAACACGCACGACTTGACCCTGCTATGTACAGGGCAAATTTCTTCACCAAGCGCGCCGCGGCCGGGCATATGCTTCAAGAAGCCGGTGGACAAATCGGTCTTGAATTTATTAAGCTTGCTGGCCAGGAAGTCGGCCGGGAGGGCCTTGATCTTCCGTACATCCTCCTCATTGGCAAAGGGATGAGTTTTGAGGTCGTGGATAAAGATCTCGATCACCTCACGGGGCAAAAGCGGCTTCCCGCCTCCGGAGCCTGTCCGGTTGTCATTGCCGGCACCGACTTGCGGGTCATTATTGGGATCACCGGCAGCGACTTGCGGAGCCCCGGCTACTGCGTTACCGTCGGCCTCGACTGGCGGGGTTTCGGTGGCTGCTTTAGTCTTGGCGACGCCGACCTGTGGACTTTCTACTTGGTGGATTTCGTCGGTGACTTGGACGTAACCGACTGCATCGGGATTCTCGGGCCTTCCCTTCGGAAGAAGGGGGCGACCGGATGCCGCGGCAACGTTGGGAAGTTGATCATGTGCGAGTGATGCAGACATGTCGACGGAACGATAAAGTTTCGGTGGGGAGGAAGAAAATAAAGTTTCGGCACGGGATGGAAAGACTACCCGTGATGGAGATGATGATAAACGGGATGAAGGAGATGATGGAAAGAGATGCCGAATGCCGAAAGATGATGTGGGGAAGGGGGGAAAGGGAAGGAAGGAGGGGAGTCGGGCCGAATCAATAGATATCGGGATGCCGAGAGAAAGGGAAGCCGAGAAATCAACAGCCCCCTCACACAACACACAACTGACAAGTGAACCCTAAACCTAACAACAGAACACAAGCTAGGCACTCATGGCTCAGTGATTTGCAGTAGTGGGTGACAGTAGCTGCAATTGCCTTGGGGAATGAACACTTTGGAATTTTGGGAGAGCTTACATCTGCTCATAGCATATTCACTGCATATTGTTTGCTGCTAATCATACAGGAGGTGATGACTGGAGGCACAGCAGAGACTGTTACATAAATGTATGAAAATTAGATGGATAAACATCCTTAAGAGATGGAAAAAAAAAACTGAATAAACACAACCCACCAGGTCTATGATCATACCAGATCACTCGCGAAACTTAATAGGTTAAGCGCGTTGCCTAGCCGCCAAGAAATCAAGACAAAAAGACGCAAAAACGCAATCGAGCCATCATGGCGTCAATTCGCCAAGTGGGTTTAAAACTTCGGCTCGCGTATCGATAGCGAGATAAGAATAGGAAAAAATAACGCGTCCCGAAAAATTGGGTAGTTTTTTTTTTAACTAGAGAATTTTGAAGGTTCATTTTGAGTGTGACAAAAATTCTTGCTAGTTGCCATCAGCATCTCCCTTTGTGGTGTAGTTGGTATCACACCCGGCTGTAATTGCTTGCTTACCGGTTGGTCACCAGTTCGACTCTGGTCGAAGGGACTCATCTTTTTCCTGTCCTAAGCGAAAGGACAGGACTATGGAAATAGTAGTGTAAACGACGGAAAGCGTGCACACTTTCTTTTTTGGGCAAACAAATCGATCGGTACTCAAAAGATATGGTTTCGTGGACAGCATTGAGCTTCAATTAAACCAGAACCTCCCTTGGCACGAAATCCAGGCTAGGATTGCACGAACGCCAAGAAAGGACAGAATGCTAGACTACAATACCGATATAGATAGGCCTAAAATTGTTTATTATCTACACCGGAATATTGACGCGCTCTTAAGCCGACATTTTGTAGCTGTACATGTAGTTACACAATCTCAATCCACGCGGTTACCTCTCAGGAGGTGGCGGACTTCTTGTACGCAGTCTGTACCGCCAGAAGGCGTGCAACCAAGCGCCGTGGATCATGATGTAAACAAAGATAATTATGCCTCTCGATCGATGAGCATGAGATGTCAATTATCGTGCAGCAGATCCGGACTGAGCTGCGTCTTAGGCAGATATTCGGGAACGATCTGGCGCGACCTCCGAAAGAGAGAAGGGGGGGGGGTATGAAGTTTAAACGAAGATATAGAGTAGATATACCTACTCAAGATATTCACGATAACTCAGCTCTTGTTGATGAGTATCGCTTTCCCTGCCTGTGGTATATATGCTACCCAGCGGTGAAGTCCAAACACCTTCTTCGGACAATAGACCGAGGGTATGTTCATAGTAACCCTACTCTACCCTCAAATCTCCCCGCCATCCGTCCGTCCAGCCGCGCCATCGTCGTCGTGATTCGCTCTCTCCGGGCTCGTACTCGCTTGATACCAAGACATTGTAGGTACTCAGTCAGGCTATTCAAACACTTTGTGTAGCTCCCAACCGTCCCGCAGCTTGCCCCTTTCAATGTTGTTGTAGAGTGCATGTAGTTACTCACCTTAACGTCCTTGCTTGAGGAGGTGAAGTACATACTCTACATAGGTACAGCGACCAGAATGATCTATGGAAAAAAACAGGGGGGTGAAGTTGTATGGCGAAATATCTGTGCACCATATAACAGTTTTTCCACAGATCATTCCTATCACTGTACATATAGGATATGTAGCTAGCTGGTAATCAGTATTGCAAAGCGGAGCTGAAGTCATCAGTAATCCTCCAAGGCGTTATTGGGCTGGGTCCAGGCAGGGCACATAACCCATAAATTAGCGAGCGGTTCAGACAGGACCCGGTCCTCGAGAGAAGTCTATTTTATTTTTTCCGTGTGTAACGCAGCACTGCTTACACTACCACCTCAGCCATTCTTTTATCAGAGATATTGATATCTTGGAAGAATAGGGGTCCGGGGGGAGCGATCACGCCGGAATGACCACATACTGTCCACAAAAGAAAAAGCTGAGCCAAGAAGACGATTGGCGCAGGGCATCGGAGTAGTTGGGCGAATGCCACTTACTCCATCTTACTCCATCTTACCGGCCGATAGTTATCCTCTCTCTCCCGACATGGCATCCCGACCTGTCATGAGGCCGAGAGGGATGGAATCCTGTATGTACTTCCCCCGAGGAGACAACCGGTCATGCACTTCATTGGTTGCTCCTGTCTCTCTTCACGGCTACCCATCCCTCATGCAGGGCCGGCCGGCTTCACCCGTAAGGGGGAAGACAAACTATAGGTACAGCGATTCACAGGCATTTGGCGAATACACCCATTTGGCGAATTTGTATGTAGCAACCAGCCAGCAACCAGTCAAACTGCGAGTTTGACTAAGATATCCTGATTCTTATTGGCCGTGACCCCTGTTCGTCAAATGGGTGTATTCGCCAAATGCCTGTGAATCGCTGTACCTATTCTACATTATGTAGACACTGGTATGTAGAGTATGTAGAGTACTGCTCATCGAGAAAATGTCAATGCCGCTCTCCCGCGCGCGAAACCCACTATGGGGATAGGTATTTGCATACTATCGGGGTTCGATTGGCTAAGAGGTGAAATTGGGTGGCTTTTTTTCTTTCTTTCCTTCTTTGCTTTATTTCTGGGGGATTTCATGGTGGGGGGAACGATGAGGCGGGGGATTGAATCTGCATGCAGAGGTTATGTTCCAACTGCATGTTGTGTTGATGTGTACTCTATTCGTTGTTTCATTTCTTTTTTTCTTTTCTTTTCTTGGCTGCGGAGGAGTGGTTGGTGGAAGTATGTGTGTACATGTATATAGGTGTCCACGTATCTACCAGGTATCGGACCCTTCTCCCAAGAAAAAGGGGGACAAGCTTTTGCCAGGGGCTGGGCGGGAAAGCTTCTTCCCCACCCCCTTCTCGAGGCTTGGGTCTTGGATCTTGAGTCTTAGGTCTTGGGATGATATATCGAGTGATATTTGGTGATGTACTCGGGTTGCCCGTGAGTTTTTGAAATCGAGTAATCTTCAGGTCAAGAACGGTACGTTAACTAATCGGTAGAGTAATAGAGTAACGAAACAAAGTGAAAGAAAGAAAGAAAGAAAGAAGGAAGGAAGGAAAGACAGAGCGAGCGGTTACATAATTAAACATCAATTAATGTGGACTTAGGACCTCTGCATTGATAGATCTTGTCAAACCTTCATGCACCAAACGGCAGAACGACAACCTGCACAGCAACCTACTCTTACACTTCAATGCACAACTACATGTACCTTACTCCATAACCTTGAATACCAGACGATGACAACGCCCAGTTACAAACCCCTTACCAAACCGCCACTCGATACTCCTTTTGTATGAGTAAGTATTACAATACCAATCTGGATCTGTAGCCATGTCTATTAATACCGTCTTTCTTAAACAAAACGCCCGGCCTCAATCACCGATATCCCGAGCCTTCCCCACCAAACATCCCGCGATCAGCCAAGAGGAAATGAGATCTTCCCGCTCCCGGCCAAGGGAAATGACATCGCTCCCGTGGTCGTGCGCGGGCCGGCCGGATTTCAAGCCTCCTGGTCAAGCTTTGCCACGGCGGGATCGGAAGAAGGGACAAACGCCACCGCCGAGTAGATACACACTAACCGTCTCTTGAAACATTCTTATAATAGGCAACAAATGCTATCGCAGATCACCGGGTAATATCATGTCCGGGCTAGTAGCAGGAGGTGTATTCTATTGTGGTTCTTGTTGTTCCATGTGTGGGTACACTACAAGTAACTTGACCAAATTTCTTTGTTCACTTCCTTCCTGCGGCATAACACGTTGTGTCACTTTCCTGACGTTTTAAACTTCATTGACATTCTCAGGGTTTAACACCACCCTTTGGCTATCTACATAGTACAAACTTTCCGAGGAGAAGGCCCGATAGTTCGATCTAGTACGCAGCTCGCCGCTGACAAGGATATCTGCCCATTGTTTCCTGTGCTTGATTTTTTTTCTCACCAAGTCCCTCACTCTTTCATCTCGAGGCATATATCCCCTTATTTACGTTACCCCTGCTTGTGGAAGAAAAGGAAAGAAAAAAAAAGCTGTGAAACAATCATTGTCTGCCGGACCATCTAAAGTAGCGCTCGTGATCTAAATACATGTACGAGTACTAGCGAGCGAGGTAACCACATAGTGGAGTAAATAGTAATCCCAATTGCAGGTACATACGCCAATTGCAAGGGGCCCTACTTAGGCTCAGGGGTAGGTAGGCAATATCGAGAAGGAAGAAGCTAAAATATCTTCTTTGAATTCAGCAGCATCTCTTGACTTGTAAGTTAAGTGATGTCTTGAATACAGATATAGGTAGAGTACGTGACCGGTCGTACGCACTGGTAGTAGTTAGTTGGCAGAGTACATCATGTATAGGAATTGGACATTATAGAACAATAGCACCCGTAAGTAGTCATTTGTGGAGTACTCTACCAACGGCATTCCGCGAGTGATCTTACTACCTGTCATGAAAATATTTCCACATCCGTGATCAAATCACTCGTAGTCTAAAAGCACCATCACCACCAAAACCCTGGTCCTTCTTTCCCACCGAGGCACATATATGTACCACCTTTAGCAAGAAAAATAAACCCCTGTTTGAACTCTAGACCAAGTAGAGTAGATTATTAGGCGAGTCCGGCAAACGTCTGCTCGGTCGTGTGGCACTGCTGCCAG